ATCTCATACCCATTACTTGTCTTTTTGGTCAGTTCTACCCCAAAAAGCCTGTGATATTTTGTTCTTTTTCAGATGGGGGAGAGAGTCACCTCTCTGGCTTGCAAGCCTGACAAGCCACTTCCAAGTCCCAGCCCTGGCACTGAGCTAATTGAATGACACAGAGAAAACTGCTTCCCCAACCCTGTTCCTCAATTTCTCAGTCCAGTGTGTGGACTGCAGTAATTTCCTTCTTAGCTTTAAGATCTACAAATTCAATATGCCAACAAAGTCCTTAAAGGCAGGTTTTCAGGTAAATCCAAGCAGCTTCTAACCCTGCCTGACCTGAAATTAGATGTCGAGGCCAGGTTTCCTTTTTCCCACCTGGAGTCCTGACTGAAGAGGAGTGATCTTACAGTCCCTGGAGGCAAGGGTGCATCTCCAGTGGGTGAGATGAACATTTCTGGAGTTTTTAGAACCACCTGTTCCTCTCCCCACATTGAATGAGAAGCTGGTGGTCGTCGCATTCTCAATTTAGGCATTTTGTTAAGCATCTGAGGTTAAGTTGGTGCTGTCTGGGCAGTAGGGTCAGAGCTGGGTTTTGTTTGTGCCAAAATAATGTGGAATGACAGAGCTCAGGATTTGCCAACCCAGGTGTCCAGCTTTCTCTGTTCACAAGTTGTTCATCCTCTTTCACCTCATGTCCTCGTACATTTTGGTGGCACCGAATGCCATAGGCTTTTCATTTGAATAAACAGTCAGCTCTTTGCCAAACTTACACGTCACTGACAAACACTTGGGAACCCAGATCTTTCCTGAACTAAAATAACTCAATATTTTTCCAGGAAAATATACCATCCCAACAACGCACAACTGGGGATGGCGGTGATGAGGGCAGGAGTGACTCACTGGCACGCTGGTCTCATTGAAGCTGGGCATGGCTTGATCTGTAAAGCCTATGCCATTCTTCTGATAACCCATGGACCTTCCCACCCAATTACCAAAGACCTAGAGGTAAGTGTCATCTCCTGTGTTGTCTCTGCTGTCTGTCTGGGCAAAATTACATTCAAGCTGTAGAAACAACCCATCCATAAGAGCTGAGAGATGCATCAAGTACTGACTGCTTCTTACCAGTGCTGTGGTTTTCTCTACATTATGTTACAGTCTGCTGGGAAATTTCATGTCCCTTCTTATGGGAAATTTTCATTCCTGAAAAATAGCTTTTATCCTGCACCAGGACATACATTAAAAATGGCCACTGAGCCCCTGAATCTTTTTTGAAAATGCTGTGCCCAAGGACAGAGCCTCCCATTCTTCACGCAGCCTGATTTCTCTGCTCTCTGATGGATGGCATCACCATTGGACTATATCAAATTACATATGGTGGATGTTCCCAGTTTACTAACTGATTTTCTTTACCAGTGTCCATTCTTCTTTATTTACCACTCCCCAGCTCTTCTAAGCTGCAATTTATTTTTTCCTCCCATGACTGATAGGTGTGTTTCCTAGCTTAGAGTCAAGAGCTGCAGATCCCAGGGAATTACATCTGCTCAGCTGTGATGAACTATTTACAACTGCAGCTGGAGATCTATCATTTCTTTAGCCTTTAACTTACCTGATGTGACCTGTTGGCTTTACAACATTCTCCTTTATTAGCCAAAAATGTACATGATACCAAATGAAATCCTTTATTGATGCCTTAGTCCCCATTATGGCAGAGCTATAACCTTTAGTAGTGCAATTTTATATCAGCAGAAAAATGAGTATCTAGTACCCAAAGCCAACCTGTCTGTTGACAGGAACAGGTTGCTGTTTCCTTATATACAGCAGAGGGTGAGCCTCCAGCACCTCCATTTCAGTATTTCTCTTCCCACTTACTTTAGGAGGTAAATAGTGGATATATGGCACATGCTTATCTTTATGCTCCTAAACCAAGGGTTGAATAAACTCACAGACAGGTGTAAAAAGATTTCCTAAAATCCCTTCTGAGCCTCTGCAATCATGCAGCAGTAGCCAAGACTCTGCTCATGGTCAGTCCTGGGATGCAACTGTGACATGGTCAAAGAGGGGCTGAGCATCCATCCGTCTCCTCTTCCCCCACCTCCTCCCACATGAGGTGAAACCCACCCTGGTGATGGGTCACACCAAGGGTCAGGCCCAGGATGTGAATGGGGAGCTCACTCACTCCCTGACTCTGCACAGCATTGCCTCTATGTCCTGCATCAGGTTTGAGATCGTGAGGCTTCCCAGCAGCCCTCAGAAGAGCTGGGTGCTGGAAAGACTGATGCCTTCTTCACCCTCATAGTACACAGGCAACCAGATTTGAGAAAGTAACTGGATATCTGTGTGCTGTCAGTTCTGGTCCTACTGGTGGGACACCTAGATTAAGTTGCATCACGCACTACATGGCCTAGGACATCCCTGAAGGTCAGTCCCTATTTTTAGGCAATGCATAATTTCCCTTGCTTCAAACACCCCTGCAACACAGGTTTTGTAACCTGTTGTGTCCCTCAGGTCATGCGTGTCCAGACGGAGATGGAGCTGCGCATGTTCCAGCAGAATGAGTTCATGTATTACAAGATGAGGGAAGCTGCCCTCAAAAACCAAAAGATTCAAGTCATGCCTGAACCCAGCAATGAGATCTCACCAAGCCTTTTCCACAAGAAGGAATAAACCTTGAGCTTGACACAAATTCATGCCTGTGGGATAATATTACCTGTGGCACCTTCAGACCTGAGGAATGTGATACAGGAATGCGGTATGTCCTTAAGGATTGTTTCCAGTGGCACCAGTCTGAGAGCATGGAACTGCTGAGAAAGAGTCCTGAAAAATCTTCTGAGGCCTAAAAGCAGAAGAGATCTTGTCAGAAACATTGTTTTTCTACCACTAGCATTAAAAATTGAATAAAAAACCCTGTTATAAAATTATTTACACTTATTGGAAGCCTGTTTCTCTCTACACAGGTCCTGATCCTGGAGTCCTTGGTTACATTTTAATTGATTCTCTCCTAAGGTTTTTTTTTCCCATTGCTTCCTTGTTTTGACAGCTCTTTCCAGTGATGTCCATGAGTGGTTGACCAAGGGATGCTAGAAGTGGGAAGCTGGTTCCACAAAGTGTCATGTATGCCTGTGGGCATTGAGTGCAAACTGAATAAGACCAACAGATTTTTTTTGTGTGTGTAAAGTGGTGGTTTTTTGATGAAAAATTATTCTGCAGCTGACATGAGTGCAACATCAAACTGTGGGCACTTTGTAAGCGAGACTAAGTGGAGTTCCTACAGCAGGACAAATTAATGAGGATAAATTAGTCTCCTTAGTTAAAAATCAGAAAATGTCTGCAGTGATGGCAGCAGATGGAAATGAGATGGGTCCATGCTAGAAGCCGGTTGTGCTGGTGTGGTGCACTGGCTGTGTGGTTTGCTCTAACTGAACACGCAGTTTCCAGTGAGGGGTATCCACCTTCACTCACCTTCAGGGTGAGCTGGGGGCTCTGATGCCTTTCAACACCTGCCTTTGGGCTTAGACAGGTACTTCATCAATTTTGCACTGAGCAAAAAAGGGATAGTTCATGGATCAGCTGCCAATGGGCAGCCAGTGGAGCTAAGAAGTCTAAAGGTGATGGTTGGATTTCCAGATAAAAAAAGGTCCTGTCTGTCTGCCCATCCATCTCAAAATTCAAATGGTTTGCTCCAGATCTTCAGTGGCAGCCAAGAGATGAAAAGGGATGGTTTGTTCAAGAATTGCCTACCTGCTCTCCAGCAGAATAGCAAGGAAACAAAACCAGGGCTTGTCCTCTCTGACAGTTCTCAATGATTTTGCTGATGTTTCTCCAGATCTAAGATTAGTTCACTGGAGACCAACATCTGCTCTTTAGGGGTTGTTAAGCTAAGCCCGTCCATTGGTCCATGAGGTGCCCATCTGATGCCCATGTGACAATCCATACTGGTTCAGTTCTCAGTATGAGGATCAATGTCAACCTGTAACATGAAAACCTTCGCTGAGGAGAGAGGAGTTATGGGAGAGATGCACATGAGGACAAATTGGTCCTTTAGTGGCACATGTTGGGGTTGTAGGAGGAGATGGGGGAGCACTTGTGGTGTTTTGCTAACATCTGGTCAGCTTTGAGCATCCATAAGAACACCATCCCAGCTAGGTATATCACACCAGCCATGTATCTTTCCCCGTGACGATTCCCAATCACCATCCAAGCACAAGGCTTGGAAAAGGCAGCTAATAAGAAAGAGTTTCCTTTCCTGTGTGCATCAGAAGACCACATCTCCATCCAGCTTACAGCACCAAGCAAGAGTGTGGGACATGACTTTGGTGTTCCTTCTATGTCTACACTGTGAACAACCAGTGCCCATCTCCTGGCAGCAGAGCAAACCTGTATTTCACCCTGGAAGGAGAGTTCAATTCCAGTTGAACTCAATTTATCAGGTGTGGTTTGGGGTGAAACACACACTGGACACGTGCAGGCTATTCAGGACCCTGCTGCTGGTGGGAAGGGATGGGGAGAAGATGAGGATGGGGTAGCCAGAGCCTGTGGGGCTGGATCCTGATGCAGGGGTGTGAGGACGGGGATGGCAATTGGGACACTTGAGCTGCCCCCATGCTGGTTGATTTCCCAAAGCAGCTTCCTAGGCAGGATCACTGATGTTTCTTTGAGCCCACCTAAAACTCCCTCTCCTTTGGCCCTGCCAGTCACCTTGTGGTCACTTTGGCCATGTCTGTAAGGGAAGGGAACTCAGTCTTTTCCCTACCCAGTATTCCTCCATCCACCCAACCAGGGCAGCCATGGGTGCACCACCCACCAGGACATCCCCAAGGAGGGTGCTGGCACCTGTCCCTAGGAAGGGGCTGGAAGAGTGCTCATCAACGTGGAGCACATCTCAGAGGGTCCACTTAATTGCTCTGAGCCAGCACTGTAGCCTGGCTCCATTCATCAACATCAGTACAGCCTTGGTCAACCTGTTGCCCAATTTGTACCTGGGCTTGTGAGAGCTTTGGAGGCTTGCATCTCTTTATAGCCAGAGTGAAGAGGTTGATGATAATTATGAAGAGGCCTTTAATACAAATTTTACTTTAATGGACACATTTTACACAGTAAAATGATTGGCTTGTACAGGGTGTCTAGATTCTCTTGCTGATTCTCTTGTAGGTGAGGTCTCCCATGGTCAGTGTCTGAAAAACAAGTGGAAAGTGTCAGCTTTTCATGGCATTTGGCTCCAAACTCTACTTGGAAAGGATCTGGTCTTGCAAATCACTCCCTCCCTGGAAGTGTTGAAGGCCAGGCTGGATGAGGCTTTGAGCAACCTGGTCCAGTGGAAGGTGTCCCTCCTGATGGCTGGGGGGTTGGAACTGGATGATCTTTAAGGTCCCTTCCAACCCAGACCATTCTGTGATTCTATGATTCTATAAATCAAACCAGGACTGGTCCCCAGTCTATCTCCTATAAAATGAATTATTAAAGCTTTGTATTTCTTCACAAATACCCCAAAGCAGGTAAGGACAATCTGACCACTCAGCTGGGACCAGTCTGCTGCATCTCTCTTTAAAAGTGCCAGGCCCAGCCACAAATATATCATAGAATCATAGAATCATAGAATGGTTTGGATTGGAAGGGACCTTAAAGATCATCCAGTTCCAACCCCCCTGCCAGCAGCAGGGACACCTTCCACTAGACCAGGTTGCTCAAAGCCTCATCCAGCCTGGCCTTAAACACTTCCAGGGAGGAGCAGCCACAACTTCCTTGGGCAACCTGTTCCAGTGTCTGACCACCCTCACAGTGAAGAACTTCTTCCTAATATCTCATCTAAACCTCCCCTCTTTCAGTTTAAACTCATTTCCCCTTGTCTTGTCATTAGTTGCCCTTATGAAAAGTCCCTCCCCAGCTTTCTTGTAGCCCCCTTCAGGTATTGGAAGGCCGCTATAAGATCTATATACATCTGGGTCGTTGAGAACATGCCCTTGTTGGATGAAACTTTGGTAAGAAATGCCTACTGGGGTCTCAAAGAATACATTTTGGATCAGACTATAACAGAAAACTTCCTTCAGTGCCTGGCCAACTGACCAGCTTCGGCTACAGAGCCTGAGTGTGAGCACATGCTCATCTCCAGCACCTCTCTAAGGTCCCCAGTATCCTGTAAGCTTTGTAGGGCCAGAACCCTGAAGGCAGCTGTAGGCACTGTTACTCCAGCCATTGCCCCTCTCTTCTACACTTACATTGGTGATGGTGTCTCCATTGAGTTCGGTGACGGATTTCAACCCTTTCAGGTTTGCGACCAGTTTGTTGTTACCCTCCAGATGAACAACAGCCTGGTAGAGAGGGGAGGAGACAGAGGCATTCATGTTATTGCTGCAGACCATATCAACCCCTGTATTTAGTCCTTCCCCTTCTGTACTGAATTGCCACTGTCCCCTCTGCAAGCTGTTTGGAGCAAGCTGCTCCCTCAGAGCTTTCCTGGGAAGAGGAGAAAAAGGGGTTGCATCTCTGGTGACTACAACACAGCAAGGTTATATATGTTTACTTTGGGGTCTACTGGGGTGCAATTTTGCTGCCATGGCTACCTCTCTCCAAGCAGAGAATCACTCTCAGTTTCTGCACTGGCAGATGTGAGAACAGGGATCCTTGGCATCACACCAGCATGAGTTTCAGAGGAGAAGAAGGAAGGCTTTTCACCCTGCCAATGCTGGTGCCTCCATGCAGCCCTGATGCTCCTTGGGGCAGCTCCTTATGCAGCACCAAGACCAACAGGACCTGCACGTCCCCAGGGAGAGGACAGCATAGTCACCTGAGCTGGGCCAGGGCATTCCATGTGGTCTCCTCTCCACCACCCACCTATTGCAAATTGCAGCAGCAGCCTCCCTGGGGTTGGGGTGATGGGAATCTAGGCAACAGCGTGGGGATGGGGGGAGTCTTGGTCAAGGTGGGAAACAATTTAAGGAACTTTCAGAAACACAGCCATGGCTGGAAAGTTCTCAGGGGAATGGGCACATCTGCTGAGTTTCTGAGCCCCTTGGGAGCTGCACATCTGAAAAGGTTACAGACAGCACTGACACCCCCGGGGCAGCTATCACTGATCACTGAAATTACTCAAATAAATAACCCAGCAAAAACCATTTCTGTTCATCTGTCTGTCCAGCTGTAAGACGTGTTCACCTGCCCTTGAGCTGCTGATTTATGGAGGGTGAAACTCTTCTAACAGCCGTTCCCCCACCTAGTTTATGCTCAAGGGACTTCAGTGATGCTGGAAATGGTGATACAGCCAGTACAGCTATTGGAATCCGATTCACAGGGGCATTTTTTTGGTGATCATTCCTCCTGCTTTCAAAGGTCTCTGCAATATCATCTTCTCCTGAGGTAGAGGTGAGAGGCAATATTTGCCAGTGGCGCTGCCTTGACATTTTATGAACCATTGGAAACTAATGTCCAGGAACGAGAGCTGACCCAGTTTCAAGGGTGATAAATCCTCACCTTGCCAAACCATCTCATCCAGTGTAAACAGAAGCAGTGGGAAAGGCTGACAGAGAAGCTAACAGCCGCTGGGGTTTAAAAGGAGAGATTTATTGGTTTATGATTCACTGGCTGACTTTCCTGCACTACCTTTAAGTCAACAAAACAAAGGTGGGGATATGTTTTGTGTTGCAACGTGACAGCAAGTCAATCCTTTTCCACTTCAAATCTTTCAGATCTTTTGCTTTCAGAAGGATTTACCAAAGCATCTCTATCCTCCTTTTCCAAATGGACTATTAAAATATTGGCTTTCAGTGTTTTCTGAACTGGCTATTAAAATAGCTTCAGAAATGCAAGGCTTCATCTGTCCAGAGAAGAGCAACGAGGCTGGTGAAGGGACTTGAGCACAAGTCCTATGAGGAGAGGCTGAGGGAGCTGGGGTTGTTTAGTCTGGAGAAGAGAAGGCTTAGAGGTGACCTCATCACTCTCTTCAACTACCTGAAGGGAGGTTATAGCCAGGTGGGGGTTGGTCTCTTCTCCCAGGCAACCAACAATAGGACAAGGGGGCATGGGCTCAAGCTCTGCCAGGGGAGGTTTAGTTTAGATGTTAGGAAGAAATTCTTTACAGAAAGGGTAATCAGGCACTGGAACGGCCTGCCCAGAGAGGTGGTGGATTCACCATCCCTGGAGGTTTTTAAAAAGAGATTGGACGTGGCCCTTAGTGCCATGATATAGTAATTGGAGTTGGATCAGGGGTTGGACTTGATGATCTTGGAGGTCTTTTCCAACCCAATCTATTCTATGATTCTATGATTCTATCTGCAGAAGTGCTGGCTGGGGAGCTCATATGGTGTTCTGTCAAAGCAAAAAGGGAAGGTGGGAACATCGGAGTCTCAGGCTCTGTGTTTCTCAGGAAGGTGGCTCAGAAATGGACTGTCATTTTTGAAGTGTGCCCCTAAGAATCTTACTGTGGACCTGAAGGGAGCTGGGCAGTGGTTGTCACATCTGCAGACTTGGATTCAGTAATTAACTCCTTCCCATTACATTAAATCATGCATATGCAGACTGAGAAACTGGGGAACTACCCAGGTCTTGTCCCTGTGTCAGCTCTAACACTCGTGGTCTGATCATTCCCTTTGGCTCAAATGCAGAGGAAATGGCTGTAAAGGAAATTTAACATCCCTGAGCCCCTGCAGCTCTGGCAGAAGAGGAGCTGATCACTCACCTTGACTTTCTCTCCCGTCAGCATCTCTATCTCGCACTCCTCCCCAATGGTGAACTCGTTGTGCAGCACTTTTGAGCCAGTGGTCACAGTAACTTTGAACTTGTTCCCATCCTGCACGATTTCTGAGATGCTCTTGATGTCCTTGCCCTTCTGGATCTGGTCATCAGGAAGCCCTGCCCAGGAACAAGAGACATTAGGTGGACCTTGAAGCCATCAGAGGGCAGATTGCTGTTGCCAAATGAATGTGGTGGGATTCATGGACCCACAGCTGGGTGGATTGCTATCCTAGTGTGGAAAAGCCTGGCAAGGATTATGGACCCCTGAGGACCACATTGCCCTGAGTCTGCTAGAGAGGAAGAATAACAAATACTGCCGTCCTGGGTTTTGTGTGGGAACTAGACTTCTCCCTTGTTTCACCAACCTGGCTGGGAGCAGAACAGCTACCTCCTTGGTCAAACATCAGATGGAAAGTAAAAACCCTGTTTTCCTTCCTTCACTGAGAGGCAAACGGAGAAAATAGAATAAATCAAGACAGGAGGAAGAAACCAAGTAGGGTTTTTTTTAATGAGATTCAAGGTCCCTCAGAAACAGCTCACTAAATTCTTCTCCCAAAACCTGAAGCTTATTTGACAGGTTGAGCCCTTCAGGCACATCACAGAATCACAGAATGTTAGGGATTGGAAGGGACCTCGAAAGATCATCCAGTCCAATCCCCCTGCAGGAGCAGGAACCTAAATGAGATCACATAGAAAGGCATCCAGGCGGGTTTTGAATGTCTCCAGAGAAGGAGACTCCACAACCTCCCTGGGCAGCAGTAGTGAAAAGCCTCCTGAATCCCTGCAGGAGCATGTTCCTTGCTACCGACGCTGGTGGAAATCCAGCCAGCCACATTCATGATGAATTATTTAAACAACCGACTATTTTTCTGATGAATAGTGGAATCTGGGGCTTTGCAGCATCACTGAGCAGCAGCACGGTGGGCTGAGCAATATCCTGCTTGCCCTCAAATTTCACAGCTCAATGGAGGAGATCTGCAGTCACCCTAAGCCACCAAGGTCCTCCTGGCTTTTCATGTGTGCAGCACTGCCACACTGGCCCATGGCTGCAGAGACTGCTGGGACCACTTTCCTGCAAGCCATAAAATTTCACCCAACGTCTCTTGACCTCCAGCCACCAGCCAGAGAGATGCTTTCTCTTCTATTTTGAGATCACAACTCCATGCACATGCATTTAAAACAAGCTACTGCAAGATGACAGACAAAAACAAGAAATCTGAGAGATGTTTTCAATCTACATCATCAGCACATCAGCACAGTTGGATTCCCAAATACCAGTGGGATCTACGGAGGCAAAGCAGCACACGGCCCATGCAGGCACTTACCAAGGGCTTTCATAAAAGGCTCAAAATTTTCCTGGGACTGGAGTTCGTACTTCCCAGTGAAGCTCATGATGGAATGGCTCTCTGTGCTCCCAACACAAGAGAAGGTACCTTGCTGGTAAGCAGAGCTCGGTTTTATAAGGTCCTTTTGCTCTAAAGGTTGGTCAGAGGTAAGATGATGTAATTCTTTTATGGCCACGTTAAAACACTAACATAAAACTGGGCAATGGTCAGTGATAAATTGTTCTACATTTTACAGACCTCGATTTACAATGTGGGGGCGGAGAAAATCCCATAAACCCATTTTATGGAGGTAGCAACGTGGCATCCATAAACAAATTATATTTAAAAAAAAAATTGTGCAAAGACAGTAACTATCAGAGGAAGGATCCGAACAATCTAATCAGCTCGCAGTCTGAAGGCACACATCTGGAAGAGGAGAAAATGGTGGAAGATTGCGGTATCTCCTGGAGTCACAAAATCATCACTGTCCCCTAAGGCAAAAACACAACTCACAATCAAATCCTGAGCTTAAACTGCCCTATCCTGAAGACTGCAGTTTCATTCAGACTCTATCCGTATGGCCTTGCCTCCAAAAAGGGGTTTCATGTGGACACATGGACCAGTGCCATGAGTGATCAAGCAAGGCTATTGCCAAGAGCTACCACTAAAACTCCCTTTCTTCTTTCCCAGAGAAGCCACAGTCACTCGTGTCCTGAAGGAGCATCCTGGCCCTCGGAGCTCTATTTCTCCCAAATGCCAGCAGCAGCCTCCCAGCTGAGCCAAATTCCTCCCTCCAAGGCAGGACTTGGGGCTGGGCTCCTCTCCCAGTGTGATCCTCTTAGCCGAATGTCCTGCCTTGCTGCATGGCATGGAATCATAGAACCATAGAATGGTTTGGGTTGGAAGGGACCCTCAAAGGTCATCTAGTCCAACCCCACTGCAGTGAGCAGGGACATCTTCACTAGAGCAGGTCTCTCAGAGCCCCATCAAGCCTGACCTTGAATATCTCCAAGGATGGGGCCTCCACTACCTCTCTGGGTAACCTGTTCCAATGATCCACCACCCTCATATTGAAGAACTTTTTCCTAATATTCAATCTAAATCTACCCTTTTCTAGTTTAAAACCATTACTCCTTGTCCTATTGCTACTCAACCTTGTGAACAGTTCTTCCCCAGCTTTCTTATAGGTGCTCTTCAGGTATTGGAAGGCTGCTATAAAGTTCCCTGGAATCCTTCTCTTCTCCAGGATGAAGACCTCCAACTTTCTCAGCCTGTCCTCATAGGAGACATACTCCAGCCCTTGGAACATTTTTGTGGCCTCCTCTGGACACACATCCATCCTGTGGTTCTGGACTCCCAGGCTCAGATTCTTGCTCCCATCTCCTCCTTCACCCCAATAAATTCCTCCTCCTTCCCAAAATCAGCAGCTCAGGGATTTTCCTTTTTTTTCATTCACATGCCTTCTCCTCTTGTCAATTCTTCCATTCTGCTGTCTCATAGCATCTTTGGCCCTTTATTAAGTGAAATCATAGATAAGCATGAAAAAAACCTGTTTCCTTCCAGTTTGAAGATGCTTCCAGATCTCTCTGCTGCTGGGCATCCTGCTCCTGTGGGGTCAACCTGGTCCGTGCTGCAGTGGTGCACCGTGACACTGCCCAGGTTAGATTCAGCCCGTTTCTGGTTAATTAGTATGGGCAGTGTCTGCCTGACAAGGCGGGAAAGGAAAACCTCTGCCCTTTGGTGGGTGAAGTTGGCTGGGGGGTGTCCATGAGGGAGATCACCCTCCACACTGTGGCAGGGGCCAAGTGGATTCAGAGAGTGCTCGTGGGAGAGTTGATTCAGAACTTTCTCCAAACAGCTTTTCAGCTTTTCCCCCTTTTATCCCAGGCTTCCCAACAGGAATGATGTCACCTTAGGAGCTGCATTTCATTTTTCCCCAACCCTGAGTGAATACCCCAGGGTCATGTGGGGCTGCACTGCCACATGTCTTCATGTCTTTCAGTGTCTTCTTCATGGGGACAGTGGTGACTGACCTCTCTGGCCAGGTCCTGGCAGCAGCTGGAGCTGACAGCTGCCTGTGTCCCACCAGGTAATGTCCTCCAGCCATGGGCCTCCTGGAAGCATGTGTGTGCCTTACACACATTCATACCATGGATCTCTGGCTGGTCCTCCAGGGAATTTACATCCCTTCTCTTTGTATGATGGGGAGAGAGTTTCAGTCTTGAAAAAACACATGAAAATTTTTTAATCGATCATCTGGCTCAGTTTGGAGCCCAGTGTTCCTGATGCACTGTGACCACCATGGGAAAGCTCCAGCTCTGCATGGCTCATTTTCCCCCTCACCATCATCAACCAGAGAAGCCTGGAGTTGTGGTTTTCATTCATGTTCTTCACTCATTTTTGCAGTGAGATACACTCCTCAACTGGGCACATCTGACCATATCCCCGTGCTGGGGTGGATGCCCAGTTCTCACCCATTTCCACGTGCAGGCTAGAGAGAAGAGGTAGCTACTAAGTCACTAGGAAGAGGACTTTCTCAGGTAACCCCAGCCACTTGTAGCCCAATGAGCACCTCTGAGCTGGCGTCTAGATGAGCTGAAGGAGAGAAATAGGAGAAACATGCCCAGAGTAGTGTCCCAGGGCTGCCTATCCCCCTCCAGCCTCTCCAGAAGAAGCCTACATGACTAGAGCATTTGTAAATGCTTCATGTTAGCCAAGACAAATCCAAACTTAGGTGCTTGAAGGAGCACCTGGTATTTTCCCTGTCCCCCCATCCCAGCCACTGCAGACTTCCCAGGACCACAATATCCACACCAGCCTGAAAGGAGAAAAAGCCACCAAGCTAATGAGACCTGAGCCTAAGATAGGATTTGGAAAATCCAGGTTTTGTCTCAAAATACTTTTGAATGCCTAACCTGGGCAGCTGAATCACTTAGAAAACCAGCAGAAATTGGGTCAGAACTCCCCCTGGGCAGCCCAGGCTCCTAAGGTCTGGATGTCACCCAACAAATATTAGAAGGAGAATATAATTGTTCAGGACTCTCTTGACAGTTGGCAAAAATGGGCAACTCGTGAGACAATTCACCTCACTTGGGATCCAAGTTGTTTTCTGCAGGTATCCTCTCTTCTTCTCTCTTACTGTGGATGGGTACAATATATCTGTGCTCCCAGCTTTGGTGTGTTGGATAAATGTCAACCATGGATCACTGCTGGCAGGTTTGGAAATGCAACCCACTGATTTTTGATCAATGATCAAAACCAAAACCTCTTTGTTTTGTCGCCAGGCATTCTGCTGGACTTGTGTTCTTTTGTTTCCACTAGTAAAGAAATGCAGAAGTTATTATAAAAAAAGAAGAAATCCTTACTGAATGAAATTCAGACAAGGTAATTATTAACTAGCCAGGCCTGCTGAGCAAACGACAGGTGAGATAAACTTAATCTCAATAGCAAAGTTCAGAATACTTGTACATCTCCCCACCAGAATACAGGATCTTTTAAAACATTATATCACTTTAACTTGCCAGGGCCAAGAAAATGCGCCTGGTTGGCATTAACACAAATCTGAGCCAGTTGACCATTTGATTAAAACTAAATCCATACCCTGAAACCTGGACCTGGCTTGTAGAAAGAGAAAAGACAGGAATCATTTTCAAAAGTTACTGAGGAGGCTACTTCTTGTGGGAAGCCAGCAGGTGCTTTCATGTTTAAGTTGCTTTGAAAATAAAGTGTAGGATATTAGAAGCTTATCAGAAAAAAGGACCCAAGTGTCTCATTTCTGCTTTTTGCACCTAAATCAAAGATATGGACATGCAAAACTTCTCAGCTTCCTTGTAGCCATGGAGGTATCTGAATGCTCTGTGTCCCAAGGTGATGAATTAGAGAAAAGATGTTTGGGAGTGACCCCTGAAGGTCTCTGATTCAACCTCCTGCTCAAAGTAAGAACATCATCAACACTCGATCAGCTCAGCCATGTTTTTGGACAAATCTCAAAACCCACCCCCTCTGCCTCTCTGGGTGCCCATCCTGGGTCTGCATCACCCACCTCTCAAGGAAGAGGTGCTCAAACCCAAACCTCTCCAAGTTCAATTTGTTGCCAGTGCCTCATTTTATAACGTCTGCTGTAACAAGGAAAAGTTTGGCACCATCATCTCTGTAACTGCCCACGGAGCAGTTGTAGGTTGTTATCACTTCCCTTCAGACCTTCCCTGGGATTCCCAGCTCTCACTTTCACTCCTGTCTGCAAGGCACTGGGTGACCACCCTCCTACGTGCACTGCTTCTTGACAATTTGGACCTTATGGTGGGGAAGTCTCAGGGATCCTGCAGCAAAAATGCTTCTCTGTCACCTCCAGTCTGAACTAAAACTTTGATTTAAGCTCTGAGCTCTGAAAGGACTTTACTGCTGGAGCCCTGTGTGGGGAGAGGCACTTTGCCCAGGAGGGGTCCCTGGCAGCCTTGTGGAGGTCTGAGAATGTCTTCATGCACCTCACCTCTGTCTCCTGTCTTGCTCTTATCTATCCTACCAGTGATTCCTCGGACTTTCTGAAAAGCCTTTGGTTTCACCTCAGTGCTTTGGGAAGCTGGGACTGGGCTCTATGCTAGGATTTCCTTAGCCAAATGGGAAAGGCTACAAGCCAGGGTTTTTGCTGATTCAGTCACAGATTTCTCCAGTGCAGGTCCTGTTGGACACCCCAAAACCCCTAGCTGCTTTTTGAAGAGCTTGGTCACAAGCCACAGATCCCCAGATGGGCTTCCATCTGTTTCAACCATATTATTGCTTGGGTCATCCCTACTTCTGCTGTGCTTGTATCTGGGAACTTGGTCTGCTGCCCAGTTTTCACATCTTTGGCCTGATTATTTTTAACCTGGGGGAACAAAGGTTTCTTCAGCAGGCCACATGGCTTCATTGCTTTGAAAGGTTGGATGGAATGGGAGAAGATGTTACTGCTTCCATGAACTCTCTGTCCCTCTTGGTTTCCCCCAAATTTTCATTGTTCTGCATTACCAAGGCAGCCCTGAGATGAAACGTGGCACCTTTCCCAGATTTTTCTCTTTTTAAAACAGCTGTGGCCATCTCCTGAAGACTGGCTGCCTCCAAGCTGTA